CACAGTCGGGTTATTAGCAGAGAACACAGAGCAGGTCTTGAATTTCAGGCGCAGGATTGCGGCTATTAATAATAATTATACTTCCCGCAGGTTCCACGCTTATAACGCGATGACATATGACGGAACTTATCATTTGCACGTACTTTTGAGTCTTGAGAACTCTCATTTTCTTCCAAGTTTTAATTTTAATGGTAAACTCTTTGTTTGCCAAAAATAAAGAGTTTAACTCTTTAAAATAAAGAGTTTACTGTGGGAGTACTACACTCAACCAACACCAGGGAAGGCAGTTTTTGTCAGAGCCCTTGTTATTCTTAATTTTGACATTAATTTTAATTTTTACACCAGACATATATATCGGTTCAAAATATCGGTTATCGGTCTACTTGATCTGTAATAATCGGTATCGGCATTGGCCTTGAAAAACACATATCGGTCGACCCCTACTTAAAGTAGTAAAAGGGACAGGATGATCATGTTTACTCATGCTTTGAACACAGTGAACTGAAGCACATCTGTCACACCATATCAAAAAGCATCAAAATGGCTTTTATTGTTCAATTTCCTAAAAAACAGACAGAATTTGTTCAAATTAATATACATAAAACAGTGAGTTTCAATTTTATTTCTGGACATGCAGTGGTTAAAAAATGCTGTATTTGTTCGGTACATATGTATACCAAACTGAAAGACCCATACAAATACATGTACCTTTACACCCCTAATTAAAGTAACACAAACACAATGCACTGCCAGTCTTCCAGGTGAAGATTCTTATCATGTAGAAGTTCTTCCCCCACATTTCATCCTGCCCTCACTGAGCATGTTCTCTTTTGGTACACACATGCGTTTGGTTCAGAAAGATGGACGACCCCCCATCAGTTCTTATCTGTAAGTGCTTGGTCAGTGTGTTTACTAACAAAAATCAATACACCATTACATAAAGAGCCTAATTAAGGGAGACAGCACTGCGGCCCAAACACACACACACACACACACATATATATATATACACATACAAAAGCACATACCCCATCATATTAATCATATCATAGCATACCTCAAAAAAACTTTCATTTGCAACTCAAGCTAGATTTACAGTAATTTAAGAGGTAAACTGGCTTACTCTTTAATAACAAAATGTTTTCAGTGTTTATTATGTTTATCATCTGTATTATGACATAATCACCATCATCTTTACCATCATCAAACAGCTGAGAAAAAGAGTCCAATAATGTTTAAGAGAGTTCTGTGTGTGTGTCCTCTGTCAGCTGGCTGCCACTTTGAACTCTGATCGAATCAGCCTTATAAAACACATGACAGGGCGAACGCTCTCTGCGACTCAATAGAGAGAGATTTTAATTAAGTAACAGTGGCAAACACACACACACAAACATACACGTGGCTGTGCACACTCATGCCATCTCACCTATAGCACTAGTTACCAAATACAAACTCTTTTGGTTCTGAAAGCATCATCTATTTAGAAATCATACATAACTTCTTATCAGCAATAGCTGAAACGCTTGCCTTATGCATTGCATAGTGCTCTTTCACTACTAAAATATTTTGCTATAAAAAACTGTTTACATCTGTTCTTACCTGCAAATATTCTACATTCCCCAAGATTTTTTTAAAGGGTCATGAAACCCTAAAACACATTTTTTGAGATGTTAACGTACAGGTTGCACATCAGTGAAAACAGCCTGTTTCAAGTTTATGTGAACAATATTTAATATTCTCCCGTGCTCCAAACATGAACCAGTACCGTGTATGCGCACATATCATGTCTTCTTCAAATGAAAGACGTGCAAATAAGGACACCGATAGAGCGGTACGTCTGATCATGAATGCGATGACATGACGGATTATTGTGATACACAGCATACAATGATAAACAGCGAAAATTCAAAGAAGAGTGAACAAAAAGTAACTATGCCTTTATTCTTTCTGTTTTAAACTGATTTGTGTCATTTGTATTGAGACTGTAATGCTGGTAAACGTGAAAATATTAGAACTTTTAAATGTTCTTCTTCATTTTTCATATAGACCAATATCTCTGCTTATTTGTTTCAAATAATAATTTATCAAAACATATTGGATTTGTTCATGATAGTTGTTGGTCTCTAATGATAAGATTTCTTGAGAGTTAATTATCATTATTTTTATATTTTTTTAAATATATTAAGGTGGCCCCTATCTCTATTGTTGTTTGTATTTTCTTTCTTTTTCTGCTCATATTTTAATATTCAGGTCTGTGTATTATTGGTTGTATTCTCCCCTCTTTGCACCCTCTTCACTCCCATTTTTCCACAGCTTTACATGCCCATTTATTGAGATTTTTTCAAATCTGAGGTGTGAACGACCAGTGCTAAAACGGGGGTTTCATGACACTTTTAAGAAATTAATTATGACTTGAAGCACTGTATAGCATGATATGACTGGGCCATACATACATTATACTTTTGTATTTGATTAGAAATGAATTAAAAGGGTAATCTCGAAAGTCTCAAACATAAGATAAAAAAATAAGATTCAAAACATTCAAAAGTGAGCTTCAGAAAAAAATCTAGGCAGATTATTCAGTTAAATAATTAAGGCATATTTTATGCTGTTTCAGTAATGAACACAAAACTGACAATTAAAGAAAGTTGTATCACAAAAATGCACAGCTATGTTCCAGGTCTGTCGATCATGTTACATTTCTATATCACTTTGCAAAAATATTAAGGTCCTGACAGCCTACAACAGCAAACGAACCTAAACCCCCAGAGACACTAACATAAACAAATATGATAAACAACAGGATAAAAATGATTTTTGCCCACTAAGTTACCTTTTATTATCGATGGAAAACTTTCTCGTCCTCTCTCTTCGCATGCACACACATACTGTACAGACACACACTCGTACATAGACGGAAATATACACATGCACAGAAACTTGTTGTCAGTGCTAGCTGCCAATCAATTTTTTATTCATTTTATTTACTTTTTTTTTTATAAAGTGTTTTTTAATAAAGTGGTTCACAAATGAAAAGCTACATGACATTTCTCAGTACAGGTTGACATGCATGCAAGGTCAAAAAACACTCTCATTGTCTTATAATATGCATTTATTTTTTTCGACTCCCAAACGGTTCGCTCAATGATTCATTTTTCCAAACCCCTCCTTTGTGTGATGCTAAACTGCGGTGATTGGTCTGATGACCCAGTCTGTTGTGATTGGTCTACTGTGTGCAGCACATGTCAATAACGGAATGCCCATCACCATTACTTGTGTTGCCTTCAAGTGCTATCAGAAATGTCCTATTTCCCACTTATGAAGTCGTGATTACGAGCTTGTCGTATTCAAGTGCTTTAATGTCGGAAAGAATAAAATGTAGCATCCCATTGGTTGACTATCATAAACATTCACCGCACTACACATGCAGTTTGCTGACAATTATGGAATTTCGTTCAAATACATGCTTATTTCACTGCTTATAAAAACTACAATATGCTTCGAATGATCGTTCATATCTAGCCTATAAATACACTACTTTAGCGACAAGACAAAGGGATGTAGTTGTTGTGAGAACAGCATTTACAGCAGCAATGGTTGTCCCCTCCACCATGTTTAAAGATTATGACCCGCCCAACTCGTAAACTCTGGTATCAAAATTATTTCAGAATTTCCCAGTAGTAAATACATCTTGAGAGGCGTTCACGTCTAATTTCCGATTAGGAAACTTGTATTTATGATAATTCCGATAGCACGTGATGGCAGCATTAGCCCACAGCTCGGTGGTAAACACCCAAACCCTCAAGGCATCCTAGGTGTATATGACTTTCTTCTTTCAGACGAATCCAGCCGGAGTTATATTAAAAATGAACTTTGATCTTCCAAGCTGTTTAATGGCAGTCATGTGTGTGTTGCAGTGTATCAGTCCAAAATAAGTGAAATAAAGCACATCCATCCATAATAAAAAGTGCCTCACACGGCTCCGGGGGGTGAACAAAGGCCTCCTGTAGTGAATCAATGCGGTTTTGTAAGAAAAATAACCATATTTAAAACGTAATAATCAATTTAATCTAGCTTGCGCTCACTGTTGTGCACGGAAGCAGCTCCGGGTGGATGACATAGGACGTCGGCGTTGCGCATGCGCCGCTCAGAAGTGACGAACACGGAAGCGCAGGGGAGAGATCAAACAAAACAACGGTCACGAATTAGAAGTACAAAACAAGGATTTGTAAAGAAGAATGTCGGAGGATTTCGATATAAGCCAAGAGGAGACTGGTTTTCCTTTGCTAAAGTACGGAAACTTTGCTTCCTTTGCTCCTGTAAACAAACGTTGATTTTCACGAGACTCACCCGCGTATGCGCAACGCCAACATCTTACGCCATCCTCCCGGAGCTGCTTCCATGTACAGCTGTTGGTGCAAGCTAGATTAAAGTGATTGTTATGTTTTGAATATGGATATTTTTCTTACAAAAATGCATTGATTCGCTACAGGAGGCCTTTGTTCACCCCCGGAGCTGTGTGAGGCACTTTTTATTATGGATGTATATGCTTTATTTCACTTCTTTTGGACTGATGAACTGCAACACCCGCTGACCCACCATTAAACAGCTTGGAAGATCAAAGTCAATTTTTAATATAACTCCGATTGGATTCATATGAAAGAAGGAAGTCATATATGCCTAGGATGGTTTGAGGGTGAGTAAATAATGGGCTAATTTTCATTTTTGGGTGAAGGGTAAGCTGGTCACGTGCTGGTCATGAGCTGGTTTAAGCTGGTCATGTGCTGGTCCTAAGCTGGTCCTGAGCAGGAGCTAGTTGCTTAAAACCAGCTTAGGACCAGCACATGACCAGCGAAGAACCAGCTTAAACCAACTCATTACCAGCTAAGGACCAGCTTAAACCAGCTCAAACCAGCAGCCATGCTTCAAAACATACCTAACCAGCATATGCTGTTTTTTGCAACAGGGATCTAGCGAAATGATCGGTCATTTTCTTTAAAAAATATATATATTTATACACTTTTTAACCACAAATGCTCGTCTTGTCAAGTCAAGTCAAGTCTGCTTTATTGTCAATTCTTCCACATGTACAGCACATACACACAAAGAATTGAAATTGCGTTACTCTCAGACCCTTGGTGCATACAGATAACACTAACAGTAGAACATAAATACAGAGATACAGATTAAATATAAAATACAACTATACAAATATACAAATAAGGTAAAACGTAAAAAAATATATAAAGCAGCACAAGGCACATGGCAGATAGAGTGCAAACCAGTGAAGTAACAATAGTGCAGATATAATGATTAGTAGTGCAAAAGAGCTTATTTAGACTGATTAAAGTGACAGTGTGTGTGTGTGTGTGTTTGGGAGGGGGGAGTGGGAGAGTCCGTCAGAGGGTCAGAGTTCAGTGGTGCTTGGGGCAAAAGAGGGGAGGGGGGGCAAGGTCGGGAGGGAGTTCAGCTTCCTGACAGCCTGATGGATGAAGCTGTCCTTCAGTCTGCTGGTCCTGGCCTGGAGACTCCGCAGTCTCCTCCCTGATGGCAGCAGACTGAAGAAGCTGTGTGTTGGGTACAAAAACACTGCGACTCACAAGACAAAAAACACGAAAACACCTTTCTGTCGGGAGAGAGAGAAGCCGCAGCGTGTGAACGCGCCGCCATCTTTATTAGCTCTGCAAGGCGCATGCATACTCTGTCTGTGTACAATGGTTCAAGACAGGGTATGTCTAAAAACTCCCAACACTTTTCTCCTCCAACTTCAAAATTATTCTACATCGTTGTTTTACCTTTTTTTTCTTTAAAGGGTGTTTGACCCTCCTTGCACGTTCACTTTGTAAACACTGGGTCGGCGCTTCTGCAGCGATGGAGGATGC